GACATTACCCCCTCCTCCAGGGGCGGCTCCTGATGACCCCATGCGGCGACGAGGGCGACTGCGACTTCGGGGTGCGGGACGGTTTGGATGCTTGCGGTGGAATTCTTCCAGTAGGGATGGATCCAGTATATCGTCGCGGGCCACCCAGGACCTCTCCTCCGGTCTGTATCCTTCCCAGTCAATAAGATATTGTAACCGGCCTCCCTGTCGCCACGAATTCAGGATCTCCTCCACCTGGTACACCGAGGGCTGATCCAGACCCTCAGGAGGAGGGGGTCACCCAGGACCTCTCCTCCGGTCCGTATCCTTCCCAGTCAATAAGATATTGTAACCGGCCGCCCTGTTGCCGCGAATTCAGGATTTCTTTCACCTGGTACACCGAGGGCTGATCCAGAACCTCAGGAGGAGGGGGTGCTTCTGGCTCGGTGGATCTGGAGGAGGAGGAAGGACAAGGTTTGAGGAGTGAGACGTGGAATGAGGGGTGAATTTTGTACCTGGGTGGAAGTTGCAGAAGGTAGGTGACTTGGCTGATCTGCCTCTGTATTGGGAACGGACCAATATAGCGGGGACGCTTCTCAAAGGGCAGGCGGAGGCGCAGATCCCGAGTGGACAGCCAAACCAGCTCTCTGCTGGTAGGTGGGAGTAGCGAGCCGTGAGCTGGATGTGAGCCGAGTCCCACACTCTCTCCACTCCAATGTGGGACCAGGGTCTACGGGGCACGGGCAGTGGGACGAGCTTGCCTACGGGGAGATGACGTGGGGTTTTAGACATGGCACAGACTGAACAGCTTTGGACGTACCTGTTGACATCCCGGGTCATACTGGGCCACCAGTACCGAGCCTGGAGGAGCGAGAGGGTCCATTGCCTGCCTGGGTGTCCAGAGCCCGGTACTTCATGTACTGAGCCCAGAAGGGTCTGACGCTGGGAGGTGGGAATGTACGTCTTCCCTTCTGGGCAGCCCGGCGGAGCAGGTTCGGTGCGAGTGGCGTCACGGATGTCCTGGTTGATGTTCCACTGTATGGGGCTGACGATCAGGGCTGGAGGGAGAATGGGTTCTGGTTCCGTTGGACTGTCGGGAGAGTGAATACGGGATAGCGCATCAGCCTTGCAATTGCGATTTCCAGGTCTGTAAGAGATTGTGAATTGGAACCTTGTGAAGAACAAAACCCATCAACCGAGAGGTTTTTGGTTAGCAGTTGCACTGGCAGCAGGGATAATATCGATATTTCTGGTTCTATTTGGAGGGCACTCACCGCCGGGCGTGGGGGTTTGACTGGGCAGAGGTTGATGAAATGTCCGGGAGCACCACAGTACAGGTACCTGGGGATCCGGATGGTGAAGGATGGGGGCCGTGCTGAAGGCCTCCTGGAGCTGGTTGAAGGTTTCGCGGGCAAGGCTGTTCCAGGACAGGGACTTGAGTTTGCCTCGTAGCATGGAAGTAAGGGGGGCCGTGAGCATGCTGAAATTCTTCACGAACCGGCGATAAAAGTTTGCGAACCCCAGGAATCTTTGTAACTCCTTCACCGACTATGGAAGCGGCCATTCCCTGATGGCCTTCACCTTGGCGCAGAAGTTGGTCGGACACAGAAAGCTCTCCCGTCGTGGAGCCAAACACTTCCTTGAAATGATTTTTGAAAGCATCATAGGAATTAATTATGGCACTACCAGCGTTCCATATTGCTCGGGCCCATTCCAGCGCGTTGCCGTTTAGGAGGGAAATTAAGAAGGCTACCTTTGAACGTTCCGTGGTGAACTTCTGCGGCTGCATTTCTAGAAACAGATCCACTTGGAGAAGGAAGCCGCCAAACACAGCCGCGTCACCAGCATATGAAGCAGGCAGGGCCATGGGAGTGACAGAGGCAGATGATGGGGTGGTGACTGGCGTGAGGGAATAGCGGGCTTAATTGGTGATGCAGGTGCAGGTGATCAGAACTCGGGTGATTGGGATCTGGTGTGTGTCGGAGGAGGTGACTGTGCTGACGTGAGTGATTGCGATGATCTCCTGACAACTATATGGTTAGGGTTAGGATTAGGGTTTGGTTTAGGGTTACTTGCATGTAATTATGCATGTAAATGTGAATGTTAAAATATTAAAAACATTACTGAAATATTATTTAAAATATTTTATAATATATATTATTTTAAAGTTTTGCATATATACATAAATTACCGTTCAAAAGTTTGGGTTTGTTAAAATTTTTAAGGAAGGTTTTTTAAGGAGGTTGCTTTTTGAAGGTTTTTGAAGGAATGCTTTCTAAAGCTGAATTTATTTGATTAAAAATACAGTAATACTGTGAAATTTTGTTACTATTTAAAACATCTGTTTTCTATTTTGACATAAAAAAATTATTTCTGACTTCAGTGTCACATGATCCTTCAGAAATCATTCAAATGTGCTGATTTGGTGGTCAAAAGAGATTTCCTATTATTACCAATGCTGAAAACAGTTGTGCTGCTTAATATTTTTATGGAAACCATGATACGTTTTTTTTCCAGGAATCTTTGATAAATTGATTTTTTTATATCACATAAATATTAAATATATACATAGAAATACATATATTTCTATATGTAATATATTATATGTAATATTTCATTAATATATAGATGTTATGCCAATGTCTGTTTTTAGGACTTGCATTTAGCATTGTCATGATGTCATTTTATTATTATTAATTAGTCACATGGCATTTACGGCTTAGGTGATTGCCTCAAAAACCCAGTTCTGCATGCCCAGAACTGAGCACCCATATTTCTGGAGCACCAGCTGACTGACAGCTATTTAGAGGAATGTGAATGCTAACAGATAGCTTTCTCTAGGTATTATAGAGCTCCTTGTTTGTTCAAGCTGCCCTGGTACCACACACACACACACACGCTGGTCTCTTATTTTGGTGTATGCGAGTGTATCTGTGATTTTATGCCCCATGGTTAGGCATAGGGGCCGCTATGCCACAGTGCTCTAGAACTTTAGCGGGCAGTCAGGTGTGCCCTCAGTAACAACATCTCCCTTCAGCACGACACCCCTCGCTGTCACCCTGCCTGTCAGCCTTTCATTTTGTATCTCTCTCACTTTCTTCCTCTCCGTCCTTCCCTGTAGCACTTTATTTGCCTGCATTCTGTGCCGTTCTTTCATTCATGGGTATTTCATATTTATTTTCAGCATCCCTTCGAACCGCTCCACCATTCTCTCTCTCTTGCACTCGCTCATTAACAGTCAGCTCCCGTCGTCAGCTCACTCTGTGTCTTAACCACTAGGGAGACCTTCATTTATACGCTCAAGCTAGGGCTCTCCCTCCCTCCGCTCTCTCCCCTTCTCCCATTTTTCTCACTCTCTCCCCCTGCCAAGTATTTATGTGTTGATTTAGTCATGCCAGACTTTAGCCAATTTAAGAAACAGGCCGCGTTTGCAGCTGTTTCATTTTCTCCTTCTGCCCATGCAGTTTTAACCGGTGGCGGCAGTGGCGTCTGTCTTAAGGGAAGCTGGGTAAATGAAGTTCTCTCTCTCTTTCCCTCCACCACCCCGGTTCCACTCCCTCAGGGCTGGTGGCACAAACATAATTTCTCTCAAAGGGGAGTTTGACTGTAAGATGGATTATTTCTGCCTGAAATCAGACGCTAAGCTGGATAAGGCTGCTCGTCCGTTCAGTTTCAATATTAAAATGATAAGTTAACACTGCAAAGCCACTCGCAAAAAGTACAAGTTGTTTCTCTGGGAGTGTCTGCTACTTTCTTGGCCAGAGATGTCCAGCTAAATGTGCATTAAAAGGTTTTGTAAAGCTTTTCAATGGGTGGCTCAGATATATGTTTGTATTTAAATTTTTAATATATATTTAAAATATATATACAATACTATTCAAAAGTTGGAGGTCAGCATGTTTTTATTTTTCAGAAAAAAAGGGAAATGAATCAGAAATGATGCATTAAATTGATCAGAAGTAAGACTTTTACATTGTATCACACTTTCCACAAAAATATTAAGCATCACAGCTGTTTTTAAAATTGATAATAATAGAAAGGAGCAGCAAATCAGCATATTGGAATGATTCCTTATCATGTGGCTGCTGAAAATTCAGCTTTAAATCACAGGAATAAATTACATGTTAAAATATATGTAATGATAATTCACAATATCACTGTTTCTACTGTATTTTTTTTATCAAATAGTTGCAGCCTTGGTGAACATAATAGACTTCATAAACATTTTGTGAATAGTAATCAAAAATGTATTTCATTTTTCTTACCTCACTTTTATTACTCTTATTTTTGGTATTTTTTATTTTTCATTAATTCCATCTAAATATAGTGACATCGATGTTAATGCTTTAAGCTTGTTTAAAAACTTACATTAAGATATATTCAAGATATAAATATTACACTATTTTGCTTATCAGTAAATGTGTTGTTTCTTTTTTTTTTTTTTTTTTTAATCTTGGCAAAAAATACTGATTAAGAAAATTATTTGTTGTAGTGTGTATGGATTCGATAGTTTTTTTTGTAATGAAGCAATACAAGCTATGAAAAAAAATCGAACAATGCAGATATACCTGAGGCCACACATCCAGACAGGGGCTCTGTCTTTGTTCATTGTTAAACAACAACAGAAAAAAAGTTGCATAATTATCTCCAGCTGCAAGGAAGAATAAGTATTCCAGCTCAACTTTTTTGCGAGACCTCAGGCAGGTTAAACAAATTATCATACTTTATATCAGTTAGGCTAATATAACAATTTTTATCAAAAATTCCCAGTCGTGCTATGTCAGTGCTGATGCCGATGCATGGTCACACCATTTGAGGGAATGCAGAAACAGTTTTTGTTCATTTTTAAATCATACTAACTGTATCTCTGAAGTTGCAAGAAATTGCTTGGATCATGTACATCTTACTTGTTAATAATGTACTATAACAAACAGTGAGAAATTAAGAGATGTAGAGACATTTCAAGTCAATTTAAGAATACATTAAACAAAATGTAAATGACATCTTGTTTCCCTCCTCAGCAATCGGGCGGACCCTCATCCCTCGTTACTTCAGCACGGTATTTGAGGGTGGTGTGTCTGACCTCTACTACATCCTGAAACACTCCAAAGAGTCCTTTCACAACAACTGCATCACTGTAGACTGCGATCAGTGCACCATGGTCACGCAACACGGCAAGCCCATGTTCACCAAGGTAAAGAAGGAGAGTGTATGTGTGTGTGTGACACCATATCCTAAACAGGCACAACGTTTTAAAATGAATGAATAAATGATGAGGTGCAGATATACTTAGTTTCTATGTTTGTCAACAAAACATGCATTCTTTGTTCTCCTTGTGCATTTTTGCTCATTATCGTAACCTCAGAGTGGAAGGAGAAATGACACAGTTATCTTTTTCCTTCAGTTCTTACATTCCCTGTGATAAACCCCGTAAACTGTCTAATAGAACAAACAAACATGGCAGGCGTGATAATTTACTACTTTAATCACAGCCATTATTCAATGTGTTTACTGATGGAGGTCGTTAGGAATCCTTGTGAAATATTTCTGGCAGCTTTGGACTCTGCTGAGAAAGCTCTTTATGAATATATTACTCAGTACTAACTCTGTGTGTTTTCATATACTTTAGTTTTTGATTAGTTTCTTTGTCATGGTAAAAAAAAAAAAATTATAATAATAATAGAAGCAAGTTGGTGAGATTTAATTTCAGAATCACAGTCTGAATGCACTAAACAAGGACACAAAAGCAAGCATAACAATCATTTTAATGTATTTGAAAGGTGGAGAGCAAATTACAAGCCATGGTCATTTTTTATGTCAATTAAGCGTTTTGCTGATTAAATATGCAGTTTGCCATTGATCTAAACCGAAAGGGTTTATGGTATCACTTGTACCATAAAGGTCATTTCCAGTTGACATTATAACTGTGTATTTCTATTATGCCTCAGGAGAGGCTGACTGGACGTTTTAGAATATAAAATAGAGCTACTTGATGCTTCACCACTTTTGCAGCCTGAATTCTTGCTGTCGTAAATAGTCATAATAAAAAATATAATGACCTATAAAGAGGACAGTTGTATTGTTGAATTATGAGAAATGGTCAAAGGTCATTGGCTCATGGTGGTTTGGATGTAACGTCACACCGAGCAGGGACACCGGCAAGGGACATAAGTATCGCTTTTGAATCATTCTCTTTCCTACTACTTGTTTCCCTTCTGTGTTCAGTTTTTATAACCAATTCTTACTATGTGCTCCCAGTAGGGCTGTCGCGGTGAGGGAATTTCCCTTGCGGTCATTTTGAGTGGCTCAATAGCGCGGTATGCGGTATTATCGCCATATATATATATACACACACACACACATATATATATATATATATATATATATATATATATATATATATAATTTGTGTGTGTATGTGTTACGATATAACTAACGAGGTCATATTCAGAAGACAATGAAACCGAAACCAAATAGCGTTGAAACAGGAAGTGAAGTAAACAGAAGAGAATGACAAAATAACAATCCACATAACCGAACATAAACCTGACAATAAGATCGTTAGCCTATATCGTTAGCCTATATGTATAACAGTTAGTCTAGTTGTAATCTGATCTTCTAATCTGACTGGACAAGAGACTTTCTGTTAATATTTCCACCTGCGCGCGTTCTAGTCCAAGTAGATATAACTGCAGACCAGAGATCTCCAAAATGGGGCGTGAGCTCCAAAAGTGGGCAGAACCTCCAATTGCCAGTCTGCTGTAAACAAAGCAGATTTTATTACTTCTATTACAAGTCATTCAAGACTAAACATCATGACCCTGACAGAGACGTGGCTCAAACCAGAGGGCAATGCTACACCTGCAGCACTCTCCAATAATTTCTCTTTTTCCCACTCCCCCCGTCTGACTGGAAGAGGTGGAAGTACTGGTCTGCTTATCGCTAATGATTGGAAATTTAATCCTTTACCATAGTACCCCTCCACATGTCATCTTTCGACGTAACCTACACTCACTCTCACCCTCCCGGCTATCTTCTATGGTTTCATCTTCGCTTCCTTCCCCTGAACAGTTATCATCTCTTGATGTTAACAGTGCTACTGATACTTTCTGCTCCTCTCTTACGTTTTGTTTAGACACTGTCTGTCCCTTGTCTTCTGATCATGTACTGGTGACTCCACTGCACACCTCGGATCACTTCCTCCTCACTCTTAACGTCAACATGGTTCTTGACACAACACATACCCCTCCACATGTCACTTTTTGACGTAACCTACGCTCACTCTCACCCTCTCGGCTATCTTCTTTTTTTATTTAAAAAAACAAAAACAAAAACACTAGCTTTCTATTTTTTCTATTCTATCTAATTGTTTTTCTTTGTGTGTGTGTGTGTGTGTGTGTGTATATGTGTGTATAATATATATATAGAGATATATATATATACCTTGCTACACTGCGTTAGGCTAACCGAGACTTGTCATTTGCACTTATATATTGTTGCTCTTTTGTTAGTTTTGACTGCTTTTATTGTCCTCATTTGTAAGTCACTTTGAATAAAAGCGTCTGCTAAATGACTAAATGTAAATGTAATGTAAATGTAAATGTAAATGTAAATAGCTTTTTAAGATCTGTCAGCTGTAGTGGACATCATGCATCAGAGGGTTAAACCACTTATCAACAGATTTTATGTTTCCACCTTGTCCATCAAGCACTTTGGATTATTTTCACACACCGATATGGACTAATCCACTCTAATCCATACGAGAGCCCAAGAACTTATCATTACAGAGGAATGGAGACCCACTAGTCTTTGAGCAACCGATTACAAAATCACAGCTGTACTTTATTAATCAAGTGCTGTATTCAGAGAAATGGTCAAAAACATAATAGCAGGTATTTTAGTCATCTGCATATTTGTACACAATTGGAGAACATTTTATTCATATATGTAGTTCTTTTCATCTACATGCACTTTTATGTCCCAGGAGTTGATTGAATGATTGATTCATTTATCTACTTATTTAATTTAATTTAATTTAATGTAATTATTGTATTTATTTCTTTTATTTATATTTATTTCATGAAAACTAACATATTTCAACTTTAAAAAATTTTATATGAAGGTAAAATTGTCTTGGGAACTGATAATTTTGTGTTTCTTTTATTTTGTGCATTTTATGTTTTTTATTTTATTTTACCATGCATTATTTATTTATTTTTGGCACTTTTCAAATGGCATTTATCTGTAGATCTACTTTTACCCCATCCCAGAGCCAGATAAACAGTCATAATCTATGGAAGTCTGTTATAAAATTATCAATGTTTAAAACTATGAGAACTTGTATTAATTGTGTAACAATTATATCAGAATTTACACAAATTTCAACTGTGAACAATTTTTCACCCAATAAAGTTTCATTCAAAAGTTAGTGTACTTTTAAACCAACTTGTTATAATTTTTTTCCTAGAGCATTTCATTTGCAATAACATTTTATTGTGCTCATTTAGAATACATAAAATGCTAGCAATGAAATTAACCGTATCAAGACTAAGGAGATTGCAAAGTGTAATTTGCCTCTTTATGATGAATAACTTGTTATATTCCTCAGAGTGGCTCTGGCGGGATTACATCTTTGCCGTTGCCATGCCAGCTAATCAGCTGACGCTCCCACCCCCCAATCCCCCTTCCTCTCCCTCCCTTTCTTCCTCCTCCTCCTCCTCCTCCTCATCCTCCGGTTGCCCCAGCAACAGAACATTGGGGCTACGAGTAGCGCAGCTCTAAATTCAGCAAAATGTTTTTCTCATCCTGTTTTTTTTTTTTTCAGTAATTGCTAATGGTTTATGACCTGCATGTATTCAGCATTTTGTTGTTTTGTGTTTGTGTAAGCTCGTCTCAAGAATTTCCATTTCATTGGCCTTCGGTTCAGGTATACAACATAAACACCTTTCATTAGGAAATGGCTTCGAAACTCTATCATCTGGTTTGAAAAGCCCAACTGACATAAAATCTGAAAAATATCACCTGTGTTAAGGTGATGCATTCTGTCGCTCTCTGAGCTAAAACTTATTTCTTCGTGATGAGACAGAGACATAGTCTTTAATACATCATAGGTTTCTGAATGTTTGCTTTCTCAGGTGTGTACGGAGGGCCGGTTGATTTTGGAGTTCGCTTTCGATGATCTGATGAGGATCAAGACGTGGCACTTCAACATCAGACAGTATCGGGAACTTATCCCACGGAGCATTCTCGCCATGCATGTGAGTTTGATATCATTACTCCATCCTAGGGCTCTGCTGTCACATGGTTTGGTTGCAGGTGTGTGTGTAGTATATCAGCTCTAGGCTATTCATTTTATAAAATTTACTGTTTAAAATTTTTATTTTTTAACTCAAATGTTGCACTACCTTTCAAATGTTTGGGGTCAGTGTGGTTTTTTTACGTTTTTGAAGGAAGTCTTTGATGCTCACCAAGGTTGACCATTGAAATATGGAGTCAGTGAACTACAGACATCAGTGCACGGAGAAAGACAGGATACAGACTCTCTGCCTTTTTTGTCACTACTTATCGTAATCATATATTAATTGTAGGGCTGGGCAAGTTAGCGTTATTGTCGCGTTAACGCATTAATTGATTAACGCCGACAATTATTTTACTGCGCGTTAACGCAATTTTTTATTATTATGAAAGTCCGTTGCTCACTGGCTCTGAATACACATACAGACAAACCATGGGTCACAGGAGGGGTGGGATGTTGATCAGTACTGGCTTGGGATGGGTGTCATCACGCGTCCCAACCAATGAAAGCATTTGGGGTGGGCCTAAGACTGCAGCAGCGCCCACATGATGAAGCGCTCACGACTTCATAAGTGGGAAACAGGAAGTTTCCGATAGCACATGAAGACAGCAGAGAAGCACTCTCGATCAGCACAGTGGAGTGCATCATTTTGTTAACTTTGTGGTTTATTATTTTGAGTCGTTTGGGACGCGGTAACACACAGCCCTCTCACAATATATTGCTTTACAGATCTATCACTTTTGACCGCTCCGGCACGGTTAGCGCTTACACTCACTGATCTATATATAACTGAACCGCGCTCTGGCCCACTTCTTCCAACCGAGCGCGGCACGAAGTGATCACACTAGTCAAACGAACCGGGCTTTGGGGGTCAAACACGCTCGGGCACGGTTAAGATTGCCTATAGTGTGACTACACCCTTATCTCCCGCATCCCGCACACACGAGTCTCTACGCACTCGCCCATCAAGTGTTGTCCCGCGCCGCACTCTGCTGCGTTAGGTCCCGCGATAGTGCAGGTCTCTACTCGGAAGGTGCCTGTTATAATGTTAAGATCGAGGCTCTGGACTCTGAGCATAACTTGTTTTTCTATAACAAACTATAAAATATTTTTTATAAAAACGTTAATGCCCTAGCAGTGGCAAATAGCTTTGGTTTTATATTTAATTTGATTACATTAATGTTATAAGCTGAGATTTACAAGAAATATTTTAACTGCTACTATGTAAAAGAATACTGCTGTAAAAAAGCACCTTATTTGTTTAAAGTGTTTGCAAATCAAATGTTATTGCACTTTTGTTCATATAGCAGTACTTTTAAATGAAAAAAGTGCATAATACACTACTTTTGAATTCATGATTGAATTTTGTGCATAACAATGCGATTAATCGCAGAAAATCATGCGATGAATCGAGATTAAAATAATTTCTATTGTTGCCCAGCACTAATTAATTGCAATAATGATATTAATAATGTCACATGATGAGCTTATGTTTAAAAATGTGAAAAGGCCTAAAAGAATTTTGGGCAGTTTAAATATCACACTTGTACCAATAAAGATAATTTCCATTTGACATTATCACTGTTGTACTTCTATTAGTATGCGGATTTATGCCTCTGGAGGTGCTGTCTGGATCTTCAGAAATATGATGCTCCCCCACTTTTGCAGCCTGATTTCTTGCTGTCATAAATAGTCATAATAAAAAATTTTATTACATATAAAAAACAGACATCAGCGATGTGCACAGAGAAGGGCTCTCTGCCTTTTTTGTCATTACTTTTGATAATCATATACTAATTATAATATATGAAATGAATAATGATATTAATAATGTCACATGATGAGCTTATGTTTAAAAGCATAATGAAGCCTAAAATAATTTAGGTAATATTAAGACTTTTTAATGTTTTTGAAAGAAATCTGTTATGCTCACCAAGGTTGTTGTTTTTTTAGTTTTACTGTAAAACGGTAATGTTATTATGAAATATATTATAAAGTTATTAATTTATTAAAATAACTTTTTTCTATTTTGAAACATTTAAAAATGTAGTTTATTTCTGAGATAGCAAAGCTGAATTTTCATCAATTATTACTCCAGTCCTCAGTGTCACGTGATCCTTCAGAAATCATTCCAATATGCTGATTTGGTGCTCATTTAACTTTCGGTCACACTTTATTTTAAGGTCCAATTCTTGCTATTAACAAACCATTAACTATGACTTTTGCCTCAATAAACTTCAAATTTGCTGCTTATTAATAGTTAGTAAGGTAGTTATTAAGTTTAGGTATTCTGTAGGATTAGGGATGTAGATTATGGTCATGCAGAACAAATGCTTTATAACTACTAATAAACAGCCAATATGTTAATAACAGGCATGCTAATAAGCAACTAGTTAATAGTGAGAATTGGTCCCTATACTAAAGTGTTAACAACATTTCTTATTATTATCAATGTTGAAAACAGTTGTGCTGCATAATATTTTTGTTTCTTACTGACCCTAAACTTTTTTATGGTAGTGTACATTGTTTGTTTTTGCACTAATGTCTGACTTATTATGAATAATTTCATATTTTGGTTTGCATCCATCAATGTTCAAATAAAAAGAAAAAATATAGTTAAGATTTTTGGTTTAGATCACGAGTGCACCCCTAACACATGTCTACACCAGACACTGTTATAATCACGTCACTGTCTATATACTGGATGTTTCAGTGCAAAAGTTCAGAATCCATTTGTATGTTTTACTAAAGTGGGTCAGAAATAGAATGAGGCATCCAGTTTAGACCTTATAATTATATTGGGCTCTATATGCATTTGTCGTGTCACTTGCATCTGGTGTAAACGGAACTGACGAGAGAGAATAATTATAGAGTAAATGAAGAAATTATTTTTACAACCAGTTTATTCAGAGAAATCAAAGCTGCCTTGGATGAATTTTTTTTTTTTAAGTACAATCAAAAGGTCAAATGAGTAATTTGTAATGAGTAATGAATACAGCTGACATACTGCAATGAAGGAAATAAAAGCAACTGAAAATCTGGGGTTTGTATGATTTTCTCTTTATAAAACTTAACTTTCAATGACTCATTGCTTTTTTAAGCACAACATATTGAGCTTTAAACCACATTTGAGTTTTAACTCATTTCTCCCCCTTGTAGATTCGGAGATAGTGTAGTTTTAGAAAGTTTGTTCACAGCAACTTGTGAAATTCACATGCTCTTAAATTGGGCCCTTTGGGGCCCTGTGTTCCGGTGGAGAGGGAGAGAGAGTGAATGAGGGAGAAAGGGCTTTGAAAGATTTTTGATAGGGATAGTGCAAAAGTTACTGCAGCATGTTTGATCGTCTCATTCCCGTACACAAGGGTAAAGTTGCACAGAAATTGAGTCAAACTCATCTGATCAAGGCTAATGAGGATATGAGCAAACTGGAGGAACCTCGTTTTAGATTCTCTATACTTTGCTATTTTACTCTGCCCTGCCCAATCAAATTACAGGAGCTCAATAATTGGCTGATGTCATTGCTGTGTCGTTAAACTCATGCTGCTTAACACAATTTACCTTAATGAATCTGGTCAATGATTTGCAAGTAAGTACACAAACAGCTTTAGTTTGTAATTCATAGTGAAATGCACTATAACATTTCAATTTACATTTAGTCAATCAATATTAATTAGCAGCTGCAGCACACTCCAGATTCAATGCCCCAAATCTGAATCAGAAATGTATTCAGTGTAATCACAGTGATTCAGATAAATTGCATCACTGGAATCTCTCCAGCACACAAATAGCGTCTCATCCAGTGCCACAACCACCAGACATTGAGAGCCCCTCAGATATTTGAAATAAAGATCTGACAAGCGTCAATATGTGGTCACATTCAGGGTCTCATAAAACACGCATGAAGATCAAGCATCATATGTGTTGCTTTTGGTCAGTAACATGCTGTGGATTTTGGGGGTTTGTATAAAGGGATACGCTTCTTTTTTTTTGTCCACCTGCAGGCACAAGACCCTCAAGTCCTGGAGCAGCTCTCAAAAAACATCACCCGCATGGGACTGACCAACTTCACCCTTAACTACCTCAGGGTAGGCAGAACAAAAATAGTTCATTTGTTCAATTTCCCTTACAAAAAAGTGTTGAGTAGATACCATGGTGAGTTGATGGTATCAGAAGTTAATACCATGGTGTCAATACCATGGTATTAATAATTAACAATACCATGGTATATATATAGGCTATATATATATATATATATATACACATGAAGAGTTCATTTGCAAAAACCGATAAACAGCATTTAAAATCATGTTTTTTTTTTATCCTGCATTCCAATCAATATCAATCAAACTGCAGTTGGGTTGTTTTGAATAAATAATAATAACTAAAAAATACAGCTAATTAAGTTAATCCTTAGACTGTGTATATATATATATATATATATATATATATATATATACTGAAAAATGTATATTGAATTTTTTTTTTCAAATATCTATGTATTTGTACATTTTGTACATTTATGTGTGACTAAATGTGTCTGCGTGTGTGTGTGTGTGTTAACACAGCTCAGAATTTATTAGCCAGCTTCATGGCGGCTTTGTTTATTCTCGTCATTTCAGTGTGAGTGACAGCTCCGTTTTGCAAATGGGAGAACAAGAGATGGAAAGAAAATGAATTGGATAGAGAAAATTTGCATAACATTAATGAGCGTTCCCGGTTGAGGTGCGGCATTGTGGCTCTCTCTCTGCGCTGAGCTCGAGCTCAGCAAAGCACAAACTTGTTTATAGCGAGGTGCTGGGAGAAGCGAGAAAAAAAGGCCCTTTCAAGTTTTTCGGAACAACAGTTTTTCTCCCACTGAGTGTCTTTCTTCGTTGTTGTTCCACGCATTAAACGCACAGCTTTGCTTATAAACGCAGAGTTAAAATGCAGCGGCGCAGCCTAAGCCGAATTGTGAATTAAATTTGGATTAGACGCAGCTCTTGTAACAGCAAGTCTGTGTGCCCTCAGCCAAATCTGCACCTGTTTTTTTATACTATGGACAGGACAGAGGGTTTTTGTACACTGTATACTTCACTGCACAGGATCAGTATATAGTAAATACAGTCATGTGGCTTGAAATTCAATGGGCTCTGAAAAAGATTAATCATTCATAATTTTTTGACTGATTTAATTGAGAGGTCAACCTCATGGATTTTAGTAGCACACTGTAGTTCCTGTAAACAAGATTATTTTTCCTCTCACCGGGGTCATTTCTCATGATCCTTACATTGGTGTGCTGTAAAAATACCTCGTAAAAATTACTCATTAGCATTGCTTGAAAAACCTCCATTTGTCTCATCAAGTTTATCAGTAAATCCACACCGAGGATGTTTCCTGTGCTCGGACGCAACAAGACCGCTGTCCGGCGAAATGGACAAGGAAGCTTGTAGGTTTCCTCACATTCAGACTAGAAATAGCCCTGCTCTGTGGGCCCGGAGCCAGAGATTGTTTCCCTGGACCTGTGGAAGTGAGAGGATACAGCAGCGTTGGGATACGATCCTGTCAGTGGGAAATAATTAGTGTGTGTGCGTATCCGTGTGAGTTTCAGGCCACCCACTATGTGATTTTACATGATAATATTGTTAAATGTTTAAAATGGTTAAACTGACATTAAATGATTTTGAAATGACTTTTCTTGTAGGGCTGGGTTTTGACACAAATTTCTCAGTTCGATTAGATTCTCATTCACAAGCTTGTGATTCAATTCGATTCCCAATTCAAATCAATATCAATTATTTTGGATATATATCTGGTACACATACAAAATTTTCTCAAGGAAAAATAACACTTAACTAATGCTGTAAAATATACATGAGAGTCAGTTGGTACTACATTACTATAATATTGAAGGTTAAAACTGACAGATTTTTTAGGCTATACAACTGCTTCAATTACACTTAATGAAGTTTTTATAATTAAAGTTACAATTACATAATAATATTTATACTTCAGTTTTTTTATAAACATTTAAATGGTGGCTATCATAAAAATATATAAATTAAACAGTAAAAGTTATAATGAATACTATATAGTGTTTTTTTAGCAAAATGCTCCTCTCTACAGTTTATTTTTCTATCTGACTAATGAGTTTATGGTCACCGAATATGTTTTTTCTGAGGTAAATGTGAAGTTACGTGACATTGTTTACAAGCCGTTATATTGACGTCTTTGCGCAGCTGAAACACTGATTGAGCGAATACATGAGACAAGATACGGATTGTAAAGTTGTACTCTTTCTTTTAACTTACCTTCGGATGTTTAGTCATGATTATTTTGTGCTGAAACTGGTATTAATGTGGAGGAGATGATCAGTTTGCGCTGCCGCTTTTATTGAACTGAGGCGGCGGTGCGCCACGCTACAGCAATCACTCCACAAAACAGCGCCAAAACGCCATTTATTGTTTAAATACTGCAATACAATGGACAGAATTTGAAATCTGAGACTTTTTTCTTATTAAAAGTACCAAAGCACAATGCTTAGGCTATTGCGATTTATTGGATGGGAAGTGCCCTTCAACATTCTGTCCATTAACTGAAAACAGGCTAGACTTAGACAAATTGATTCTTGGGATTTAAGAATCGATATGGTTTTGTAAAACTGAGAATCGATTATAATCGAGATATCAATATTTTTTACCCAGCCCTATTTTCTTGTGTGTGTTTCTTTTAGTTGTGTGTCATTCTGGAGCCGATGCAAGAGCTAATGTCCCGACACAAGACCTACAACCTCAGCCCGAGAGACTGTCTAAAGACCTGTCTGTTCCAGAAGTGGCAAAGAATGGTGGCCCCTCCAGGTAACAGCAAATCACGGTCATCTGTATTACAGGACGCTCCTAACGGCAGCAATTTGTGCTCTATCAGATCTTTACAGATGTGTGTGTTTAACGCTGTGGTCTTTGGGGAAATATGCTCTAATTCAGCACTTCGGTGGGACCTATCAGGGAAAAAGAGTGGGAATTCTGTGGTTTTACAGTCTTAGGTGGACTAGAACAGACCTGCAAACTTTACAGTGACCCCAAAATGTATTTGGACACTTAAAGAGCAGGTCATATGGGTTTTTGAAAAATATCTCTTTTGCAGTTTATAACATAGCTATCCTTAAATGAAAACAATCTGCAAAGTTGTTAATCAAAAAAGTGCATGATAATGGTAATATAAATATAACATAAACAAATAATAAAATAATATAAATATAATATAATTAATAAAATATTCAGATACTTACAGTTGTGCTCATAAGATTACATACCCCTTGCAGAATATGCAAATATGTTAATAATTTTAACTAAATAAGAGGGATCATGAAAATTGCATGTTATTTTTATTTAGTACTCTCCTGAATAAGCTATTTCACATAACAGATGTTTATATATAATCAATAAGACAAAATAATAACTGAATTCATAAAAAATGACCCCGTTCAAAAGTTTACATATCCTTGAATTTTAGTAATCTCTGTTGTTTCCTGGATGATCCACTACTGTTTTTATATTTTGTGATAGTTGTTCATGAGTCCCTTGTTGGTCTTGAGCAGTTCAACTGCCTGCTGTTCTTCAGAAAAATCCCCCAGCTCCTGCACATTCTTTGGTTTTCCAGCATCTTCTGCATATTTGAACCCTTTCCAACAGTGACTGTATGATTTTGACATCCATCTTTTCAGACTGAGGGCAATTGAGGGACTCATACACAGCTATTACAAAAGGTGGAAACATTTACTGATGCTCAAGAAGGCAACACAATGCATTAATTTGCATTATTTGCATTATACATTATTTGTTTTAAGATCATTTTGTTTTTCATTTGGTATTGCACTTAAGAAGCTACATAAATACTTAAATGTTTCCCAGAAGACAAAATAAGTACAATTTACCCTGATCATCCAATTCAAAAAGTTTACAACCCCAGCTCTTAATGCATTGTGTTGCCCCCTAATTGTCCTCCATGTGAAAAGATGGATTTAAAAATCATAAAGTCACTGTTGAACAGCTCAGGACCAACAAGGGACTCATGAACAACTATCACAAAACAGAAAGACAGTCGTGTGACCATCCAGGAAACGACACACAGTATTAAGATTTAAGGGTATGTAAACGGGGTCATTTTTATAAATTCAGTTATTATTTTGTCTTGTGGAGAATATATATACATCTGTTATGTGAAATAGCTTATTCAGGACAGTATTAAATAAACAATAACATGCCATTTTCATGACCCCTCTTATTTTGTTAAAATTATTCATATTTTGCATATTCTGCAAATTTATGAGCGCAACATATTTATGTAATATGTAAAATATATATATATACACACACAGTATATATAAAAGACAATTAGACATTAAAATAAAAATAAATAGCAATAATAATACATAAAAACCCTGACAGCTGTTGTTAACAAGTGCTAAAATTAGCATCTGATTAAACATTAAATGAAAGACAGTAGAAGGAAAAAGTAAATAAATCAAATGAAAATTAAGACACAATTACACTTCAAAGATTACACTATATTCTGTTACTTTGTCTGCTGGATTCATACATAGGTACATTTAAGTTATTTTAGGTCAATATGTTTGAGCTAGTGCCCATTTCTGTTGAAAAATTTCAGCTGCAGTTTAGCAGTGATGTGTGGCAAATGTAAGTGTCCATATAGTTTTGGGGCTGGTAGTGTATCTAATAGAAACAGGGCGGTCACATGTCAGTTTGTGCATTTTTAGAGTAGCTGTTCTCTTTTTTCACTTATCCTTTCTAAAAACTCTCATTTGGTAGTATGTGTCAGTAAGGATTAGACATCAGTGGATATCTCCAGCTTTTGATGTCTCTGTAGGTTCCTCAGGGGGTCAAATCAATCAATAATAATGATTTAGACTTGTCTTTAGATCACATGACGGGTTTACATATGCAATATGATTTAAACAGTGACAACATGACATGTATGAGACTGAAACACATCCTCCATCCGCTCCCTGTGGGTGAAACCCTGTATGACCCCCGTCCAGGCATCAGCACCGGCCTTCTCACAGTCCGTATCCAAGTGGATCTTCTGTAATTGTCGTTTCCTTATTAGCTGTGCTTCCCTCTTTCCTCCCATTCTTTTGAAATCTGGAGAGCGTTTGTGTTCAGAACAGGAAGGAAAGAAGGTTGCCTTTATATGCTGATAAGTATTTTTGCCCCTTTTTTCACGTGTATACAGTATGTGTATCTGTGGAAACAAGGGCATTTTAGTACGTCATTCACACACTCGCACTGATAAACATACAGGTTCTTCTCCAGAAAATCAAAACAGATTTCCTTGTACAGTCTGTTTATTATTGTATTTGACTTTATGTTAAATCTGTAATGTACAAACAATGTAGAAACATCCCCTGGGTGTGGTTAGTAAGAACCTCGAAAATGTATTTAATTTTCAGGCATCAGTAATGACTAACGATGTGTCAAATATGTTGATTGTTATACTAAAATTAAATCAATAAAATAACAATTCATGGCTGTACAGTTTTTACAACATTAACAAACTATTATTTTTCAGTCGATTTTAACATTTAGGCATACTGAGTCTCATTCATTCATACACAAAAGCAGTTGAAATACAATAAACATTTTTCATAATGATCACCTTTCATTACTGTCATGTTTGTTTATTAATGTATCCTTGCTTAATTATTAATTTCTTTCAAAAAATTAAAAGTCGACTGACCCCAAACATTTAAGCAGTAGAGTATAAAGCAAAAATTATCTAATTTACGATAGTGATTTCTGCAAGAAGTGTTCACACAGGGTTTGTGCACAAATATGTGTGTTTGTATGATTAGCAAATGAGACCCACAGATTTTGCAATGCATATTTCAAAAATTTCTGCTGTTGACAGCAAGGCTGCAGTCTTGCAGTTTACATTTGCATATGTCTTCTGCTCTTAGATATACATAACAGCTTCATTTTTCATAAGTATTATCTGGAAAATAAATCTTGCTTTGGATATGATTTCAGCTGGACATCCACAGAACTTCAAGACGGAAATTTTCCCCTCAAATCACAAAAAAGGTACTCGTCTCATCTTCTGAATCATCTTCTAATAGGCAAACTACATTCTGTGTCTAAATTGAAACCCATGAAATACATTTTCTCTCTGTGTGAACCATGAATGCTGAGCATAAAAAGAGAGATATTACAGGAGGATATTTCAGTAGTCACTCAAAATAGACAATTTGTTTAAAAAAAAAGTTATATTTGCTAAAACATAATCAAAATTGTTTAGTTTATTTATTAAAAGTTTTTTTAAGGATTTATCCTCCAAAAATGAATTAGAAAACACATTTTAATGATAGTGTTAGTGCTATTTATTGAAATTAAACAGCATTTGTACATTAATAATATAAGTATGCATGCATGGCTGGCTGCAGAGACTGCAGTGTGCACGCTGCTTGAGCATTTATGCAAATGAAAGCAGAGGTTCTCTCTTACTAGTGCATGTCTTGGGAGATGTTTAAATGCTCTTTGATTCTCTCGCTCTCAGAAAAAAATAGAAAAAGCATGATGCATTTCTTTATCTTTCCCTGTGTAATCACCCATATGTGTTTGTATATGTTGGAAAAGTCTTTTTTCTTCCTCTGTGTGCATGCACTGTGGCATGTTCGTGAGTGTGGATGTGTGTTTTTTTGTTTTATTAATACTTTTGTTCTGTGTGTGTGTGTGTGTGTGTGTGTGTGTGTGTGTGTGTCTGCCTGCCTGCTTGTGCGTTTTGTGGAGAGCAGAGCCCACTCGACAGACCACGACCAAGAGAAGAAAGAGGAAGAACTCCGCCAGCAATGCGTCTAACAGTAGCCTTGGCAACAGCGCTGGCGGCAAGAAACGCAGCCCTGCCAACAACTTCAATCTGACCAGCCAGGTACCTGTAAGCATCAAATCTTCTTCTTTGCACACACATATACAGTACACACATTGTAACCAAGACAATTTTGCTCAGATTGCTGTCCTAAGGATATGATTATGCTGTCAAAACACATATAAAGAGGCGCTGTAGTTTTGATTCACAGCAATAGCTGTGTGACAAGAGCTTATTCAATCATATCCCTGTGACCTGTGCTTAGGAAGGGTTCCTTCAATAATGAAAAAGTTTTGTCGTTTTTACTCACTCTCATGTTGTTCCAAACCCATATGACTCTCTTTTTGTCATGCAACACAAAAGATTATTTTTTGAAGAAAATTTATTTGCATCAAGCAAATAATGAAAACAAATGGCTGTCAATCTCCAAAATGACAAAAAAAGCCCCACAAAATTATCATACAAAACTTGTGCACTGTATAAATCATCTGACAGTTTAACAGAATATCTGATTCATTACGAATCATTCTTTTGAGCCAAATCTTTTCAGTAAATCGTCTGATTCATTTTACAAAACTAGATTGAATGATTTGTTTGCATTGGTTAAGAGTCAACTGAATAGGATTATTATTGAATAATGACTTAAATTTTAGTCTGTTCTTCAAACAAAACTACCGTATAGCTTCCAAAGACTTGTAGAGAATGTATCGTATGGACCACTTTTACGATATTTTTATAATGTGCTGCTTAAACACCCTTTTTGAAGCTTGAAAAAGCACCATTCCCTGTTCATTGTAATTGTGTTGAAAAGATTGACAAGTACAAACAGAATTTCTCTTTTTGTGTTCCATAAAGAAAAGAAACTCATACAGGTTTGGTGTGACAAGTTTGTGATTAAATTACAGAATTTTAATTTTTCTGGGTGAACTATCCCTTTACCAGCACCTGACAAGCTAATACTAGCACTTACCTATTCTATTCTGTTCTATTCTATTCCATTATATTGAAAAAAAAAACCTAGCTATGTGTACTGTGCTAGACTAACTGAGACTTGTCATGGCACTTGTATACTGTTGCTCTCTCGTTCGTCTGATTGCTTCTATTGTTCTCCTCATTTGCTAAATGGTTAAATGTAAATGTAAATCTGTGTCTCTCACCACTAATGACACATCAAAGTGCTGTTATGACACGTTATAGCAATGTTGTGTCAGTTTTTTGGGCCGTGACACAAATATAAAGCACATTCAATCCCAATGCCAAAGTAAATACTCTCTCTCTGCACCTTCACAGAGAGAGACTCCTTAGCCCTCATTTTCAATTCCTATATTACCCACTTACAGTGTTTAACCCCAATTCAGAGGCATTTATCCCAGAGTGCCTCTTTATCCCCTAGGCTTCCTCTACAGGCATTACTCTGGCGGTCGATGTGTTCTCCCAGTTCGCACACTGACTACAGGGTCAAACACACAGCGTAGGAGTGCTGAAGCTGTTTTTGGGGAGTGGTATTGTGAGGCGGTAAATTTGTTTGCAGATGGATGATGGGATTTGTAGTGCGTGGCTTTTCCCCTGGAGTTCAGGGACAATTGGATACATGAATGCCATAGAGAAGATTAGAGAGGAGAGACGGTCACGTGTTCCAGCTCAGTCTGTCAAACCCAGAGCTGTTTGTTTACATGCTCTGGTGACACGACCTAAACATTGCTATAAAAAATGTGGGTTTCATTTTTTTTTCTTTTTTACAAAATTGTTTTTAAAAAATTGCATCAACCCTTTATTTTAACTTTTTTCTTTCAGCTCAGCTTTTAATAGCGATCAAACATAGTGTTTTTATTCAATATCTGATACATATTTTTTAATATCATTATAAAATTCAAAAACATTTGATATAAAATATGAAAACAGAATTATAATAAAGTTATATCATATATCTGTATCATGGTTATTTTAGTATCATATATACTATTATAATATTCATTAGCTTTCTATTTTCATTTATCATTTATATATATAGGTTCAATTTTTTATTACAGTTTTAGTTTTAGTACTTAAAAAAATAAAAATAAAATTTTTTTTTAATTAAAATTTCTTTTTTATAATCCAATATTTATATATATATTTTTTTAATGATATGAAAATGTATTTTATTTGAAATACTTAAAAAAATAAAAAATATTTTTTTTTTAATTAAAATTTCTTTTTTATAATCCAATATTTATATATATATTTTTTTAATGATATGAAAATGTATTTTATTTGAAATTAGCTTATTTAAATTAAATTACTCCATTTAATTATATCATATATTCATGTATATGGCCGTATAAAATGATATATATGTACATATCTGCTGAAATTAAATATTTTATTTACAAATTTTTTCTTCTCTCTCGGGAAAATTTGTCTCTCCGTATATGGAACTCTAATTGCATATATTTTGTCCTGCTTGTATCTAGTCAACGTCCATCACTCTGAGGGCACCAGACACATTCACACAAGCAGAGAGAAAATTGTTGGTGTGAGCAACTGGCTCTGTGCCAGCGCTCATTATCATATAGATCCTCTCTGTGTGTGTGTGTGTGTGTGTGTGTGTGTGTGTGTGTGTGTGTCACAACACTTGTCATTTTACTCCCCATTCGAAAGCAGCAAGCTTCATTGTAAGCAATGTCGCCGTGCGTCGCGGAGAGGAACACGCTGCTTACATATGTAGCGTGGCCACTTGGCTTTGTCTGTGCAGTCATCGCATGCTGCCTGATCGGCCTCCTACGTGAGCCCAATCACAATAAGCTGATCATATGACCACCAGGTTTTGGGGAGAGGGGGTTCTTGTGTTCAACAGTATTACTACAGTGCCCCCTTGTGGTTATGTTTTTGGGCTAGAATTAAAATTTCTGTAGTATAATGACAAGTTGGTCAGTCATGCATGTGTAACGTGCCTGGATTTGCACATCTTCTCAAGTCTTAAACAATGTCCAGCTCAAATGAGGGCTTTCTGTGCTCCTCAAGCTCAGATGGAGGTGGATGCAGAGCCAGTCGTTGTGGGCGGCAGGTAGTCGGTTTGTTTTGCTGTGGGTTTAGCCACAGGCTACATCTAATTAGACAAGAGCACTGGACAGCCTTTCCATTTGATAGCAATTAGAGCTCTCCGTCAAACCACCAGCTGGAAACCTGTAGGTTGCGTGAGCGCGTCTGTATGTGTGTGTGCTAACGTTTGTGATCCTGGCCCCCGGTTTAACACCCAGACTGCAGGGCGACAGTTGCCTTTCAAAAACAGATGGCAAATTCAAGGCTCATTGGCAAGCGGTGTTCGTTTTTTTCTAATCGGTAACATTTCAGCTAATGACTTAATTAGCTATGCAAATTGACAAATCAGTGTGTGGATATTGTTATTTAGTCAAAAAGCCCACCTTAATGAATGAGAGTAATTAAGAAGCAGAGGGGTGGGAAGGACTGACAGTGACTCTGGGGTCTCAGCCAAAGCTCTCACGAGACGACAGGAGAGTCAGCGCTCACATAAACAGAAATGAAAATAAAAAAACAGTAAAAGAGCTGAATCAAGAGATAGGATATGCAGAGAGCGCAGGTCCAGTAGTGTGAAGGGTGCAAGGAGTCTCATAGCTAGTAACCTGGAGAATGAACAGGAAAATAAGGGACGGTAAATACACAAACACTTTGTTTAATGTTCAGTTGGTTAACAATAGTTAATGCATTAGGTATCATTAACTACTTTTTACAGGCTTCATTAATCTAATGGTAATTTATAAATATGTTATTGTTAATATATGTGTGGTTTAAAATGTATAACCAAACAGTTGCTGGTAGCCATTGACTTCCATAGTTTTTTTGTTTTTTTTTACCATACTAAAGTCTATAAAGGCTTCCAGAAACTAAAGTTATGTATTGAAACTTATTGTAAAGTGTTACTGGGCTACTCACAGTTTCTTGATTTGCACATTTGCTATTTAATTTAGGCAAAATAATAAATGAAGTGCTAAAATGAATTTATGATGCAATCACATTAATTTTGTCTCACTGACATTCAATTTCATTGTGTCTGTTATTTAAAAAAATTCAATTAATTTTAATGTCATACTAAAGTGTCACACACTACTACACATTTCAGTTTAACCTCTGCCAATTTACAGTATAACACTAAAGAATTTGACTGTGCATAAATATTTCATTATAAACATACTCAGCTTTTGAATGCTTTTTTATTTTAGACATTTTAAATAAAGCAACACATCCAGTGGAATAAATGCACAAGAAGCTGAAAGCGCACAAATTGTCTCTGCTTTTATCCAAAACATTCTGATGAGTAGTACAAAGTGCAAAAATATAACAAATAAAAGTGTTAAAAATAATGTATTAATACTTTTCTTGTTCACTGCTCAAATGTACTTTTTTCTTGATGCAGTAATTTTGTCAGCCTATTTATTTTTAGTCACTTCTTGCATCTTGATCAGTTAGATTGCTGTCTGATTGGATATGCACATTTCATTTACACTTGGCCACATTCATGTCTCAGAAAAACAGATATTAATGCAGTCTATAACCGTGCTAAATGCAAATTCACTTGATGCTAAAGCTGGGCAGCAAAATGATCTGTTGAACACTCTCATAAAGAAAATAGTGTTTGAGTTTCCATCCATGTGTCTCATCTGTGTTTGCTCACGCATGTGGATTGTGTGCTCCCAACTTATGCATGCTGATGTAGTTCTGTCCCATAAGGATCAAATATGGATCTAATATTCCGTTCCCTTAAATACGGGCCAATTCTGTATGGGACAGTTGGCAATCGTACATAGAATGGGAGCTAGAAGAAGAGTATACAGAGAGATAAAGATAAAGAGCTCCCATGCCGTAGTGTGTCGACACACATGATCAGCGAAGCGTGTGCTCCAGTTAACTGATCAGTTGAGCCTGAGAATTCAGCTAGAGAAAGAAAAAAGACTGCACTTTAACAAAGCTCCAGATACGATATTGTAACTAATTAATCACACAATTGATTGCAATTATCACATCTTGACATAATGAATCACATCTATCTCATGTATTATATTTTAATTTAAGATATATTTGATAAATGAACATATTTATATACATTATTTTAACACATTAAAATACAATTTAAACATTGTAACTCATCACAATTTAATCACAATAACATCAGTTTTTTATATTATTTAATATATTACAACATTTTTATAAATATGTTTATATACATTATTTTAACACATTAAAAGTCTATTTAAAAAGTTAATTGTACCTAATCACACAATGTAATCACAATTAATCACATCTATTTTTATATATTACATTTTAATGTCATATATTTTTATATAATATAATATTTTTTGACATTTTTGATTATTTTTTTAAATAATTTAAAAAAGTTCTAACTTATCACACAATAATTATTCACATCTAATTTTAGATACTATATTTTAATTATGTATATTTTTAATATAATATTTTATAAATAAATATATTTATATACTTTTAACTTAAAATAATGAGCATTACAAATAATGTATATAAATATATTTACAAATATCTTAATATGAATACAAATGATTTACCCGACCCCACATTTAAACATTTTTACTGGTGCTTGCTAAATTCAAGGTTAGGGATTTCAAACCACAAACCGGTCCTTCACCATCCAACGTATGTCTGGGTCTGGTTGGACTGTTTTGTCTTCATCTGCACCCAAAGTCTCTTCATATATATGAAACCTGCCTTATATTGTTGTTTTTTTCTTAGGTGTTTGACTGTCTAACTGTATGTATTGCAGGATGTGATGGTGGTAGGTGAGCCCACTCTGATGGGCGGGGAGTTTGGCGATGAGGACGAGCGTCTGATCACTCGGCTAGAAAACACACAATACGACGCCACCAACGGCCTGGACGATGACGACGACTTCACAAGCTCGCCGGCGCTCGGCAACAACGCTCCCTGGAACAGCAAGCCGCCCACAGGACAAGACAGTAAGCCAGAGAGTACAGCCTCGCAGCCCTCTCAGTAGGAGACAACATGCGCAATGCTTTCTCTCTGACCTCACTTTTTACCCTCGATTATGTAAATCCCAAGTCATGGTGTCAATGATGTCATCCATTTTCACCAGAAACTGATGGTTCCACTTCTTATTTGGGGTAACATTTAAGAACTTCACAGACCAAACTTTGGCAGCAATATTTGCTCACTGGATTTTTTCGAAATCATCTAGCTAGGCTACAAAGCATCGTGACAAATGTGACTTTTGGAGGAACTTGATTTTATCGAGGCTGAGTGAGCAATCTGAATTAACAGAGACCTGAATTTGGGACAACTTTAGCCCAATAATCAATGTAAAAAAGCTACCTGTCTCACAGTTCATCACACATCTCCATAGTGACTCCAGCTGGCAACCACACTCGATATCAACCAATCGCTGAAGAGACGGTCATGTTGACTGCCTTCTCACTGGAGACTGGAACTGCAGAGGCACCCACTGAGACCAATCCCTGAACATTTGCATTTTTATTGGAAATTCGTTTGGCTATTGTCTTTTTCTCTCTGCTTTCAATTAAAAGTGAACCGCCTTGCGTTCCTTCAACACAACTGACTGCATTAACAAAGACAGCTTGCATTGAAAACAAACAAAAAAACATTGCCAGTAGCCATTTACAGATTGTACTTTAATTCAAAAATTCCTATTTGATTTCTGAGTCAGTGTGTTATTTCAATCATTTGTGATTTTTCTGTATTCTCATTGTACTGTACCATAGGGATTAGGGGCTTATTTATGGACAGGCAAGCACATATGAAAAGCATATTTGTCCATCTTTCGCCGCTCTCCCTGTATTGACTTATTTTCAGAATGGAATATGATATGTTTCTGCATGAAATTTTGAAATCGGTAATATGTTTATTTCCAGACTTTTGAGGTCATGTTGGACTTTGGTAATCAATTTGGAAGCACAGTAACCAGGGTTGTGACTTTGAAAATAAAAATGCATTCTGCTTCATCTGATGTCACTGAAGTCATCAGACCTTGATGTAAACGGCAGCTGTTTTGACGTTTACTACTTGTTGTTTGACTTTTTTTTTTTTTCTGATAATAACAGATAATTTCATACTCAGGAATGAACACCATACTGAGAAATGAGAACATTAAATATAGCTTACTGTAAATCCAGTCACAAATATACTGTTCATTAGCTTTGTATGAGTTTAAATAACATTCATCATGTATAGCTTCACCCTACTTTTAAAAGGAAAACATCCTTTTTATCTAAAATTCATCATTCTAAACAATGCAATGAATGCCCTTCTATGTGAACAGGTTTATACAGCTTTATGTCATTTCTGTAGCTAGAGACACACTGTTTTTACAACATTTTTTTCATATACTGTCCACTGGATTTGAAAACGTTTCTTAAAGGCCCTTTAAGAGTTGTGGTGTGCTTTAATGATTGAAAATAATATTACAGTGATGATGATGATGACAAACAGCCAAATATCTTTTTTAATTAATCAGTTTCTTTGTTCCTGTGTTTTGTCATTACAAAGCATATTTCCTGAATATTAACGCAAAGCCTAAGATATTTCCAAAACCAACAAAATGACAAGACACAATATCAGCCACCCACTGTTTAAACCTTGTATTACTGAAACTCTGCACAGTTTGTAAAATATTTAGCAGAGCTGTTTTTTGTGTCATATCCAAAGTCTTGTATGTATGCTTTGCCATTTTGTGTGCCAATAAATTGTGCTTACAAAACTTTTTGCCGCGATATTTCTGCTCCCTCTTACTCAAGTTTTACTTTGCACATTTCCACAGCGCCACCCTGTGTTCAATATTATGCATTTCTTGCTTGCATTATTTTGTATATTTAGATGTTTTATATTACGCATTTCTTGCTTGTGTTATTTTGTATATTTAGATATGTTATATATTTATATGGTATATATATTTATACAGTGGTGGCCAAGATTATTAGAACACTAGTATTTTCACTAGCTAAACAATGGTTTTAAGTCAGTTATTTCTATCTTTTGCTGTAGGGTGTGAGTAGGAAATATCAGTTTACATTTCCAAACATTCATTTTGCCAGTAATTGTAATAATGCAGTGAGATTTTTGTTTGCACAAGGAGTCAGTGCTCCACACAGAGATCTGATCTCATCATCATCCAGTCTGTCTGGAATGACATGAAGAAACAGAACAAACCGAGACAGACTCAATCCAGAAGAACTGTGGCAACGTCTCCAAGATGCTTCAAGAGACCTCCCTGCAAAGCTACTGTACTGTTAAAAGTTTTAGGCACTTGTGTAAAAATGCTGTAAGATGAGGATGCTGTCAAAAATAAACAGGTTTTTCAATGTACGCATTTTTAATTTTCAATTAAAATATACGTAAATATACTATAATATTTATTTTTTTTAAAGAAAACTACTTGGAATTCAAAAATTCTAAATTATTTATGTACATCATTTCTACTATAACCTGCTGCATAGTTTATTTGATCGCAACAGTGTACTGTTTATCAACATCACGTGTGTGGTGTGATGACGCCACAGCGAAGATGGCGGATTCGATGTGTGGCGGCGGGGTGTCAGACGAAAAAGATCCCGAAAATTATGATCACAAAGGGGTAAAATGTCCCTGGGCTGCTGCAGCCATATCGAGGAAGACAGACGTCTTTGGGTCGGCGGCGAAAATGACGGAAACTCTCGGATGTTATGAGAAGCCCGCCGTTAAAGACGAGCAGCACGAGCATTCAGGTGAGCTCGAGCATCTGACAACTGACCTTTGTCTTTGCTTCCAACGTGGCTTCAAGTTTAACTTACCTGATTTTACGAATGCACGTGCCAGTCTCTTCTTTAATGTGGCCACATCTAAGTTTCAAATGTTGTTTGGCTAATTAGATTTTCTTTATCAATTAACTTCTATTAACTAAATTAAATCAACATTTGGTGTGACCATCCTTTGTGTTTAAAACAGCTTCTGCTCTAGGTGCGCTTGCGCATAGTTTCTCAGGTAGCTTTGCAGGTTGGTGACGTTTGATTTAGTCTGTCTCAGTTTGTCTGTTTGTAAATGTAAACTGATATTTCCTACTGGCACACTACAGCAAAAGATAGAAATAACTGACTTAAAACCATTGTTTAGTTGGTGAAAATACTAGTGTTCTAAAAATCTTGGCCACCACTGTGTGTGTATGTATATATATATATATATATATATATATACCCCCCCACCCAGGATTTTTTTTATGGATTTTTTTTTATATATATATAATTATTTGAAATATACATTTTTCTAAAATCTTAACTTTTGAACAGATAAAATTAATATGACATATTTCAGATTTCGAACTCTCTAGGTTACTAATCTAAATACATTAATCATGTGAACACCTACTGACATTCAGATGTTCTTGTTTCCAATAAAGCACAAGATGCTCTTTTGGATCAGTCTCAAATTATGTTTGAGAACATGATCATTTGGTTTTACGCAAAACTTGTGAAGTTCATGAAGCTGACTATTTCTAACGCGGATGTTAGGAGAAGCCCGCCGTTAAAGACGACCAGCACGAGCATTCAGGTGAGCGCGAGCATCTGACAACTGACCTTCGCCTTTACTTCCAACGTGGCTTCAAGTTTCCCTGGATTTACGAATGCATGTACCAGTCTCTTTAATGTGGCCACATCTGAATTGTATAAAATGTTGTTTTGGCTAATATTCTGATAGCGTTCTTGCTAAGCAGTCGTTTACAGGGCGCATATCAGTCATTCTTGAGACATGGGACAAAACAGAATAGAATGTATTTAACACAATTATCACCTTCAATTTAATTTTCTCATTATTATACCAAATCTGTGTTTCTTAATGTCCTCTCACTACGTCTAAAACAGTGTGTCCACAGAGAAGGGTTCAATCATTCATAATATGCAATAAAATGGATTAAAAAAAAATTAATGATGAAAAATAGCTTGTTTTATCAAAAGCAACACTTAATAATATTTCCTATCAAAGCAAGGTTGTTTTTTTAATGACACATGCATGTTTCATAAGATTTTAAAGTTGCGTCCCCACTTTTCAACTTTTGACGTCGACACCGTCAGACATTCAATAAAATGTAATAAAATCAGGGAATATCAGGGGCAGCTGTCACTCTAAAGGACCTCCTCGCCAAAGTTCACCTCTGCAGAGTACATCAGTGTCAGACAGGCTCTGCTAAGTTTTATAGTTTTTGAATATTTTAAGTCCTAATGTTAATATTTCCTGTGTCACAGCCATGATATGTCAACACCATCTGAGGTTGTATCAAAGCATAGCTCAGTAGCTTAGTACATATAAGATACATAAATGTAGTTTCATTTGTCTTGAGTACAAGGTTTTATTTTTTTTTCAGTTTTGCACCCTGTTTTGTCCCACTTCTCAAGAATGACTGATATATGTTGTTGTATTCATTTTAAACATATGCATCAGAAATCAAAACACTTGTAGTCTTTAGGTCTAGTCTAAAGTGCTCATGGGAAGCCTGAGTGGGTCGTCTGAGGTCTCGTTTCTCTTAAACGTCTGGTTCTGGTCCAAACATGGTGTTAGGAACACATCCAGAGAGAAATGTGCACTTAAAAGCTGACATCTCTAGCTCTTCCCCTATCTAGTATTTACCGTAAATCAGAAAGTACTGCAGTGACAAAACTAGCACAAAGTTGTTGCTTATCTGTCAAAATATGTTGCAGGAAATAGCAGCTGTGCAAACGCAAATTGCATTCTAGTGGTTGAGCAATTCAACTGCCTAAATATCAATGTGACAGATATACTGTATAACGTTACACATAATACACCTAAAAAAATAACTTAAGTTCCGAAAACTCATAAACTTGAGGCAGCCAGCTTCAGGGATTTTTTGAATTGTTGTATAAAGAATTCTTTCACCAAATATAATAAGTTCTATACAATCAAAAATGTTTTTACTTGAAGTTTTTGTAAGTTCTTGCTGTTTATTATTTTAAACTGCTATGGCCTAAAATTGGCTTTGCTTCATTTATGTAATGCAAACTTTTTCTGCATTTGATAGTTCAGTCAACCTTTAAAAATAGAGTTTTTAATCACAAAATTACTAACAAAACATTTTAAGTTTACTAAAAAAAAAATTTAAAAAATCTCTAAAATTTGACATTTGAAAACAGAAAATTTCTATTGTCCAGTGACAAGGCTGCCATCAGACTTTACACTGACCGAATCAATTGGTCACATGGGCACAGTTATTGGCTGATGTCAATAATGTCAAAATGAGAAGGTACTGGCTAAATAGTTAGCCTGTCTATCATCATTATCTTCTCACAACTCACATGCTTGATTTATTTACCACTTGCCAGTTTGTTTAAGTAATTGTTATGGATATATTGTGTTATATATTGTGTTATGGATATATTGTGATGTCTGTATGCTTGTCATTTTGCAATTTTTGCAGAAATGTCTAAATGACTCTGTTGATCACTATAAATGTTGACTTATCAATTTAATAGCATGAAACACTTTTTTTTCTCTCTACCCCACAGACTCGGATGACTCTGACGAGCC